CCTGTCTGCTAGTGTATGCAGGTACACATCTGGCTGGACCCACTATCGGGGCCCAGCCAGCATGGTCTGCACCTCCAGTCTATGCACGTGGCCTTGCCTTTCACACTCCCAGCCCTTGGCCGACCAGGTGGCTCTGGGCCCCTACGATGGAGCAGTGTCCTCAGAGTGCAGCCTGTGGGTGCCCACATGGAACTCTGTGACTTGCAGCATGCCTCTAACAACTCTGAGAACCGTCATAAGACTTTTAGAGGCAGGGAATTTTAAGTCTGTTGATACATTCCCACTATAATGCAGGAAATCACCGATGCGGATTGTCATTCTACTTCAGCTTGATTGTCCCTAGGGATGAAGAGCTCACTCCTTATACAGTGGGGCCTCCCATTCATTGGCTGCTCTGTGTCTGTGGACCTGAGGTTGTATGGGAATTGTAACATGAGTTTGAGCCCCATAAACCTTGTCCTGCCTGGTATCAGAGCTCAGAGATTCCTCTACCAACTCATCTGGCTAACCCCCATGATGTCCTATTACCTTCAGACCCCAGGCTAGTTGTACCACTGTACTCAAGTGAGTAGAGAGCTTACCCAAGGCCCACTGACCTATAATGTTTCTGCCATTGGGTTCCTGCTCCCTGAGAAGTTAGTTCTCATTTTAAAGACAACTTACTAAGAAAACAAAATACGCTCTACAAAAAGTGGACTGTAGACTTCTTCAGGAATAGCAATGCTTCAGCCCTGCCAGGGGTAGAAAGTGGGGGGGGAGTGTTGGGGGCACCGGAAGGCAGGCTGAGGATTAGGCAAGGGGGTGTGCATCAGAGGGGAGGCCGGGGACCAGGCAAGAAGGGAGTGCCAAAGAGGAGACCGGAACTTTCTGCAGGATGTCAGCTTGGCTCTGGCCCCTTGTTAGTGTTTCGGGGAACTCCACTCAGAAAGTCCTCTGCGAGGCAGCCTGATCCTCCTGGTGGGCAGGGTACAGCTGGCCTGCTTGGATCCCCTGAAGAGGAACTGGTTTCCTGCCCAGCTCACTCGCCCCTGGGTGCCCTGTATAGCTGCCTTGCAATCTTTCCAGGAGAATGTGCCCTCTGGATTGCAAGTAGGCACTGACCCCTAGTGGGCAACCAGGGGATTACAGCACAATAGGTGTATGCTGGGCTAGAAGGTGTTACATGCCGTTGGGTCCGACCCAACTCATAGTGACTCCTCCTTGGGTTTCTGAGGGGATATCACTACGGAAGTAGATTGCCCAACCTTCCTTCCAAGGAGTGGCTGGTGGGTTTGAACCTCCAGCCTTCTGGTTAGCAGTCAAGTGCCTTAGGCACTACGCTACCAGAGCTCCTGGGCTAGAAGGGAGGGGCAAGCAAACCCAACCCCTGCATGAAGAGTAGGGGTATGCAGACCTAGGCCCCATGCAGGAAGGTGGGGCGCACAGATGTGGAACCTAACAGATCCACGTAGCAGGGACTCACCCACTGAGTGAGGCTCCTTGTTCTGCAGAGGCTCCCAGGGAGGCACCCACATGCCACACCCCTACTTCTCAAGAACTGAAAAGTAGGCTGCCCAACTCTCATCATCCGCTCTGTGACTACTCTGCCATGCAGGGCTCTTTCTGTGGGTGTGAAGTGGAGATGAGCCAGGAAGGGGCTGCAGGGGGTCAGGCTAGGGTCTGGGCACAACCCCAGTTCACTGTTCCATCTTCCTGGCTGGTTCTCTCCCACGTAAGTGAGTGCACCTCTCACTGCCCCTGTCCTCCTAGTGAGGGTCAGACACCTCTGATGGGTTACCACCCACACCCTGGACCCAGCAGGGGACCTGCTAACCCTGCCGCATTGTTTTTAAGGACTTGGCCATGTACATCAATGAGGTCAAGCGGGACAAAGAGACTTTGAAGAAAATCAGCGAGTTCCAGAGCTCCATTGAAAACTTGGTGAGTGTGGTGACTTCTCCAGATGAGTGTGCACACAGTTTGACTGTTTCTTTATAAAAGTATTACTGTCACAGTCTCAACATCAGTGAGGGGTCAGGGCGTCCCCTGTCCCTGAGTTTGGAGTGGACTCCCCAGCAGCATCTGGGGCTGATCCCATTGCAGACCACCCAGATCAGCATCCTCTCACTCAACCCAGGTGGTTAGCCCCAACCTGATTGGGATGGGGTGTCTAGAGTACAGGGTGGGAGCGTCAGTGATCACCCGGCTTCCTGGTTTTCCCTCCCTGGTCCAGGACTGTGGGCTCTTGGATCCAAGGGGAGGGACCAGGCTCCTCCTGGCCCCCAGGTCCACCCTCATCCTCCCTGTCCCTGAGAAGGTGTGGTCCTAGGTGGGTGGGGCCCAGCAATCACTCTTCTCCTGCCTGAAGGTCCCCCTCTGGGTTCCTCACCCTCATCCATCAGGCAGGGCAGCAAATCACAGACCCTCATGGCTGGTGTCAGGTCAGCCTCTGTGTCCTCCTTGGCCTGAAAAGGCTGGTTGCCCCAGGAATCACTTTGGCTGATTGTCCACCAGCACCAGCTCCAACCAGACAGGCCATGTGCTTGAGGCAAGATAGCTTGGCCTCAGCTCCACTGACATTTGGGGCCAGATGTCCCTTTGTTGTGGGGTCACCCTGTACGTTGTGGGATGTTGAGCAGCATGCCTGGCCCCCAGCCATGAGGTGCCAGTGGGACTTCTCTCCCTCAGCAATGACAACAAAAAATGTCTCCAGGTAGGACAGGTGTCCCCCAGGAACTAATGTCACCTCTGTGGAGAACTGTTGGCTTTAGCACAAACGTTCGTGCTCCCTGACCCCTGGCAGGTCCAGGTGAATCTCTGTCAAGGGACAGCACAAAAGCCTTGGGGAGGAAAGCCCCCGGGATCAGCCAGCACCTGCTGCCCTCCTCACCCAGCCAGGTTCACAGGTACCAAGAAAGGGTGAAGGGACAGTCCCTGTGAGCATCGTGTGATGCAGAAAATGTTCACAGTAGATTGTCAGTTAAAGAAAAAATAAGTGACCAAACAGTATTATGATGCGACCCCAGCTTATTTTATGGAAAGAAAGAAAAATATCTATGAGACGCCGGTGGCTCAGTGGTAGAATTCTTGCCTTCTGTGTGGGAGACCCAGGTTCAATTTCCAGCCAGTGGACTTCATGCCCAGCCACCATCTGTCTGTTGTCAGCGGAAGCTTGCATATTGCTGTGACACTGAACAGGTTGCCGTGGAGCTTCCAGACCAAGATGGAAGCAACAGTCGAGAGATCAAAGGATGCATTTTATCAGGCAAATCTGCTACAAAAGACCTCTTCAAAGTGTTAAAGAGCAAAGATACCACTTTGAAGACTAAGGTGTGCCTGACCCAAGCCTCATATTTTTGGTAGCCTCATATGTGTGTGAAAGCCAGACAGTGAATAAGGAAGACTGCAGAACTGATGCATTTGAATTATGATGCTGGTGAAGAATAATTGAATACACTGTGGAAGACTGGGCAATCTACTTCCATAGAGATACCACCTCAGAAACCCAAGGAGGGGTCGCTATGAGTCGGAATGTACTCAACGGCAGTGAGTTTGGTTTTATGGACTGCTAGGAGAATGAACTAATCTGTCTTAGGGGAAGTACAACAGGACTTTCACTCCTTAAAAGCAAGAATGGCCAAACTTCACCTCTGTACTTTGGACGTGTTATCAGGAGGGACCAGACTCTGAAGAAGGATCTCATGCTTGGTAAAATACAGGGTCAGCAAAAAAGAAGAAGCTCCTCAGTGAGATGGATTTAGATAGTGGCTATAGAGTTGGTGTCAAGCATGCCAAAGACAGTGAGGATGGCACAAGACCGGACAGTGTTTTGTTCTCTTGTACATGGGGCTGCTGAGTCGGAACTGACTCATCAGAACCTAACAACAACGAGAAGAAGGGCCTGGCAATCACCTCCCAAATATCAGACATTGAAAACCCTGTGGAGCACAAGGGTCCAATCCCACTGTGAATGGGGTTGCCATGAGTCAGGGGTCAATTTGAGGCAGTGAGCAACAACAACAACAAAAAAAAACACCTGAGTACAGAGGAAGGACATGCCTCAAACTGTTACTGTGGTCAAGGTACTGTTATGGGCCTGAGGGTTGACAGGTCTACCCAGGTTTAATGTACGAGTAATACTTGCTCATTAAATAACAGTACTACAGTGATGGTCAGCAGGGACTGAGAGTTAACTGAGGGCCAGGCTTAGGGTCAGCCCTGGCATTTTCTCCTCAGCTCTGTCTCTGACCACAAGAAGCCGGTGTCTTTACTTTCTGCACTTCAGAGATGAGAAATGGAGGCCTGCTCTTGGCTGTTGCACTTGGAAGTTTCTGGAAGGTTCAGAAAACTTGGAGGAATGTGCTGCCAGCTGTTTGTTGCAGCACCTTCCAGGCAGTGCCTTGGGAATGTCTTGTATGTTGCCTCTGCATCGGCCTGCCCCTGTGAAAGCCACCCGGGGACCCAGTCAGCATAGCAGCAGATCGGACCCCACAGAAAATAAAGTCACAGCAAGCTGGAGCGGGATCCACCTGGAGCTCCTCCTGTGGACTGTGAGCATGAGCGACCCGCCATCAGATAAGCACTGTTTGTTCTCTCATCTGGCTTCTACAGGCCTGCTTGCCGCACACAACAGAGGCCTGTTAACGTGACACTCACCATCAATCGCTCTTTGTCCTCAGTACCCAAGGGCTTGGGGACAGGAGGCCGGGCCCAGTTCCATTCCCACTTTGCTGTGCACCCCATTGTCCAAAGAGCCAGCAGGAAACTACTGGGCTCACTTCCCTTTGCTGCCCCTTTGGGAGGCTGCCCACCTCCCTCCTGATATGGGTACCAGGAGAGCAGGGAGGGCCAGCACCAGGCTAACTTGTCTCTGTTTCCCAGCAAGTGAAGCTGGAGGAGTTTGGGAGGCCGAAGATAGACGGCGAGTTGAAAGTCCGGTCCATAGTCAACCACACCAAGCAGGACAGGTGAGCGAGGCTGCACTGTGGGTGGGGCCCTCAGTCAGCTGGCTCTGCGGCCAGGGTACCCTGCTCCCTGCATGCCTGGAGATGGGCCTTCCTGGCAGGAGCTGGCTGTTTTGCTCAGGTCTAATTGCTCCCTTCTTCTTCGGGAGAGCGGTGGCGAGCTGTCCCAGACAGCAGCCCTGCCCATGCGGGCACTGGGTTTGGACAGGGGCAGCCAAAGGCAGCGGCCAGCACCCTGCCCCCACCCTCTCAGTCTCCAGAGCCTGGACATATTCAGAGGTGGCCCAGGGGCTTTCTGTGGATGGCTGCAGGGAGGGGTTGAGCCTGGGTCTGTTGTTGGTGATCAGGGAAGGGGTGAGCCTGAGGTTCACAGGCTCAGTTCAGAGGCTTAGTCGCTCTGCTGCTGACCCAGAAGGTGGCGGTTCTCTGGTGGCTGAGCACAGCTCATGGGGTGCCAGCAGGGCCACCTACCAGCACTGCGCCAGCCCTCCACACAGTAGCTCAGCTGGCTGACGGGCCCTGACCACACTGTCTGGGCCAGGTACTTGTTCCTGTTTGACAAGGTGGTCATTGTCTGCAAGAGGAAGGGCTACAGCTACGAGCTGAAGGAGATCATCGAGCTGCTCTTCCATAAGATGACCGATGACCCCATGAACAACAAGGACATCAAGAAGGTAAGCTGCCATTCTCTGGTGACAGCGTGCCTTCTGAGGCCCACTACCCACAGCAGGGGCAGTCGTCTTCCCCCACTGGGTCCAGGCCCCAGGTGACACAGTGGTGGTCAGTGCTGATGCCTGGAGATGGGTGAGGGGGCAACCTGCTCTTTAGGGAGCCCTGAGCCTAGCCTCTGCTCTGTACTGGGGAGGGGACTCTCCACTGCCCGGCCTCAGCCCATCATCATGGCCCCTGTGAAGGCCACTCTCCCTGTGCTGGTGCAGTGTTTCACCAGCCATGGCCCCTCCACTCTCAGGACTCTAGTTCTCAGATAAGGAGCTGGGGGCAGAGGAGAGGGCCTGTGTGAGATGCTGGTGAGAGTCAAGCTATAGACTGACCTGTCTGCCCTTCTACTCAGCAGATCCGGGATTTAGAGGAGCAGCTGGTGGGCCTGGCTATAGCCTGTCAAAGGCTCTGATGTCCATCTGGGTTGGGGCCATGCTGTGAGGGTGGTACCATGGCTACTGGGGTTGGGGCCATAACTGAAGTGGACAAGACCATGGCTGCTGGGTCAGGGCTATGACTACTGGGGTGGGACCATGCCTGCTGGGGATGGGGCCATGGATGTGGGAGTGGGGCTATGATTGCTAGGGATGGGGCTATTGAGACAGGGCCATTATTGTAGGGCAGGGGTCATGGATGTAGGTGTGGGGCTGTGACTATAGGAGCAAGGCCATAGCTGCAGGAGCAGGAACATCACTGCTGAGTGTGGGTCATACTGTAGGGACAGGGCTATGGCTGCAGGGGTGGGGCCATAATTATAGGGGGTGGGTCCACAACTGTTGGGAGAGGGGGTATGGTTACCAGGTGTGGGTCTGTAACTGCTGGAGGTAGACCATGCTGTAGGGGTGGAGCCATGGCTGCAACATTGGGGCCATAGCTAGCTGACTACTGGGGGTAGGGCTGGCTGCTGGGGGTGGAGCTCTCAGGCTCTGGTTCAGTTTCACTTCAGAAGAGGCTTCCACACACAGTGCTTGAGTACCTACTGTGTGCTGGGTGCTGGGGCCAAAGCCAAGTTTGCTAAAACCCCAGTCCTTGGTCTCCAGCTCACATTGTAGGGTGCAGCCCCAGCATACTCAGGGGTGATCTAGCCCGATTTAATGGTCCAAAACAGGAGACTGGCCTGAGGCCTCTCCCTGGGCACTGCAGCCTCTGAGTCCCAGCCTCTGGTGCCTGCTCCCTCCCAGAGAAAAGCTCATTCCTCGGCTGCCCCAGCTTCAGGCGCTTTATGGTAGGCACTATTGCACCCGTGCTGGGGCTGCTGGGCTCCCAGCTCTGGCGCCCATCCCTGGGCTTGGCCAACCCTCTTAATGACTGTCTCCCTCTTTCCTTTCCTTTCTCACGCTTCCTAGTCTCACGGGAAAATGGTAAGCACCTGGCACCTACCTCCTTGGTGCAGGGCCTGAGGCTTTGCTCCCACCCAAGCTACAGTGTGGGCCAGGGTTCCAATGTGTGGGGCCAGAGTCCCAGGTGGGCTAAGATGGGCAAGGCCCAGAGTTTTCTTCCTCCCCTGGGTCACATGTGTTTCTTAGTGATTGAAATGATGTGTATTCCTGATGAGAGGTTGTTCCTGTTCCCAGCTGTCCCATACCCTGGAGGGAAAGCTCTGGGGTTATTTTACATTATGACAGGTTTTCTGTCTCTAGAAGTGTCTCTGCTTTCTGTCATCTCTTTCCTTTCTGTGTTCCTCCCTGTCCCCACTTTCTGCCTTCCCCATGTCTTGCCGCACCCCTCTTTCCTTTCTTCGTTTTGTCCTTCCTCTCTCCTGCCTCCCTCTCTCCTTCCACCTTTTCTAACACAGACAGACTCCTGCTTCCCACCCTCTTCTTTCTGGACCCCTTGGGAAGCTCTGCTGGGTGGCTCAGGGTGGGAGCAGATGGGGTCTCCCCAGGCCCATGACCTTCCCCTGCCCTTTGGTTTCCCTCTTGTTTTTACTGCAGAGGAGTGGGTTTTCTAGCATGAGATTTAGGAAGTGAAAGTGGGTATGCAGGCCTCTTGGGAGGAGCCTGGGCGAGTTCCTCAGCAGCTCCCACATCCTAGATCCATCACGAGAGATGGTTTAGGTGGAGCTGGCAGACTCGAGTGGAGGGCTTACCGTGGAGAGGGAGAATAGAAGCCCCAGGACACCTTGTTAGAGGGGTGGGTCCCCCAGACATGTGCACCTACTTCACATGTATATATATACACACATGGGAGAACATATATGCACACAAACAGGCACAGATGCATATATTGTTGTTTGTTGTTATGTGCCATTGAGTCAGACCCCACATATATACACATGCATATACACATGCAGGCACAGAAAAGTGCCTTGTGTACACATGTATACACATGTGTATGTGTATAGATGTGTGTGCACATATATGCATGCCCACATGTGAGAACATGGTAGTGCATACAGGTGCAAACATGAATGTGTGTATGTCCATATACAAGCATGCATGTGATAGCATGTGTGCAACAGAGGCACACATGCAGTATATGCACATATACACACACATCTGAGAGCATATGTGCACAGTAGGCACAGTGTCTGTAGGTAAGTTTGGGCACAAGTATGCACACATGGGAGCACACAGGTACACTTGAGAACACATGAGCATACAGGCACATGTGCTTTCTACACATGCATACACACATAGTATAGGCACACATGTAGTGCAGGCATGAGTGTCTGTTTACATATGCACACATATATACACAGAATACATGAGAGCGCACTTGTAATGCAGGCATGTACACACAGGCACACATGTGCACACTTGAGAACACATTCATACAGGCATGAGTGCCTTCATATACATGTATATGTACACAATGCATATGTGAACATGGGCACAAGCATCTGTAGACACATGCACACACATGAGAACACATGCATGCATACAGGCATAGACATGAGTGTGTACATATGAGAGCACACTTCTACATGCAGCTATGTATACACAGGCACACTTAAGAACACATGCACATGGAGGTGTGGGCATGCTTCTGTACACCTTCATGCACACATGAGATCGCACACACGCAAGCACATACATAGGACTGAATGCTTCCCCTGTCTCCTCCTGCAGTGGTCCTATGGCTTCTACCTGATCCACCTCCAAGGGAAGCAGGGCTTCCAGTTTTTCTGCAAGACGGAAGACATGAAGAGGAAGTGGATGGAGCAGTTCGAGATGGCCATGTGAGGACACACATGCCATGAACCTGGTGCCCACTGCTGGACTTGTCTGGAGGCCTCTCAGACCAGGCTCCAAATGCCCAGATACCAGGACTGAGGGCTCTCCAGAGGGGCTCTGTCACCCCAGGTGCCAGCCCCTTCTGGATGCCATCGTGGCCACTGACCCGTCTGCCTACGACAGGAGGTTTCCCTACTGCTGCATTCTGCTCCAGAGCCCAACTGTCCTGTTGTTGCACTCTGCCCTGAGGCTGAGCCTCATGTGCCAGACCAGCAGATCAGGGCTGGCACATGAATGTTCAGAAGGATGGGGCCAAGGCTGGGTATGGGAGCTGCAGGGTCACCATGTCTGCTTTAGCCTTCTGTGGCTGATAATTCCCCCAATGTTTTGTTCTGCAAAACAGCAAGCATTGGACAAAGTTGAAAGAACTGTATGGTAAACAGCCATATCACCCTCAGATTCCACCATTAACAAGTCATTCACTGTCCTTGCTTTGTCCCATCACCCAATGTGATGATCTTATGTTAGATTTATTTCAATGGACTACACTTATCAGTTCACACCTCTTTGGAGTTCAGGATGCAATACTCCTTTACATTTTTCAATGCCAAGGGCACATACAATGAAGTGTATAAATCTTACATGTGCTTGGGCTGAGTTTTGACAATTTCTTACACCTGCCCACACCCAAGATATAGAACACTGCTATCACTCTAGAATGTTCTCTCATGCCAGAGTAGCTTAATCTACAAACCTGCTCAGATCCTCATTCTACTGCACAGAGATAAGCCCGGGCCCGCAACCCCCTACCTGGGCCCCCAGCCCCCTGCCTGGGCCCAAGTCCTTGCCTGGCTGGTTCTGGGTAGCCTGGCTGTAGGAAGGCTCAGGGAACCATTCCAGGGGTGCCCAGCTAATGCAGCTCCTGCTCTGCTTCTGTCCGGTCAGGTCAAACATCAAACCAGAGAAAGCCAATGCCAACCATCACAGCTTCCAGATGTACACGTTTGACAAGACCACCAACTGCAAAGCCTGCAAGATGTTCCTCAGGTGAGTACTTTCCACGGCCCTGGCCGCACCAACCCAGGCAGGGGGCGCCTGCTGCTGCATCTGCCTATGTCCACATCATCTTGACCATCCCCTTGACCCGGCTGAGTGACAGTTGGACACCCAGCAAGTGTCAGACCCACTATGGGCCCTCAGGTGTTTCAGATCTCATGAGGGGTATCTCATCTCTATGTGTGCACTCTGCGTGCAGCACAGGGTCCCTGGGCCCAGAGCCCTTGTGCCCAGCAGTGAAGTGATACTGGAAAAGGCCGGAAAGGAGGATGTGAAGGGAGCCCGGAGGCTTTGGGCCAGCTCCCAGAGGCAGAGAGAAGGCTGCAGTCCATAGCAGCAGGGATGCAGGGGCCTGCGGGTGGTCTTGGGGCCCTGAGCACTGGGCTGAGGGTGCAAGGCTCTGTGTGGGGCTAACCTGACCCCTCACCTTCCTTCCCCTGTTTGCCTGAGCAGGGGTACCTTCTACCAGGGCTACCTGTGCACCAAGTGTGGTGTCGGGGCGCACAAGGAGTGTCTGGAGGTGATGCCGCCCTGCAAGATCAGTGAGTACCGCCCTGCTCAGGGCCTGGAGGGGTGCTTACGGACCCCCCAGGACTAAGGGTGCCATGCCCCCTCCCCACTCAGAGTCATGGGGGGTGCTCATGGACCCTAGGGCTAGAGCTCAGGGTACCACATCCCCCACTGGGTGGTCACAGGACCCCACAGCTTTGCCTGAGGGTGCCACACCCCTTCCCCTCATTCAGAGGCATGTGGGGTACTCAGAGTCATGGTAGATTCTCACAGGACCCTAGGGCTGGGCCTGGGGCACCAAGACTGCCCTTGGGCCCAGAGCCATGCCAGGTACTCATGGAACTAGGGGGCTGGTCCTGGGAGTGCTGTGGCTGTCCCTAAGCCACAGTTGCCAATGGTCATGCCCACCACATTCCACCCCACAGCTAAACTGTGTTGCATCCACACATTCTCCTTCCATACTTCTGAGGACCCCCGGGCCAAGGACTGTCGGTACCTAGCTCCAGGTGGGGAAACTGAGGCTCGGGGGTACTGGAGCAGCTGAGAGCACTGCTGGGAAGGAGCAGAGAACCCTCTATCTCACTCTGGGGGCCTGGCTGGTAACTGACACTCAGGACTCTCTCTCTGCTTCTCCTGTACCCCTCCCATTCCAGGCAGAGGCTTCTAGAAACTGCACCTCAAAACAGGCACAGAACCCTCTGGCAATTGCCTGGAGGCTTTTGATCCCATAGAGACATCAGTCATAATATTTGATGCTCCTGGGCTCTTGCAGACAGGGCTGGGCTGTCCAAGTGTGCGTTCCCACCAGCTGGCCTTACAGTTTCACCTGTGCCACCACGAAGCCTGGTGAAACCCACGTGAGATTGCTCACCTCCAGTTAGCAAGTCAACACAGTGAAGCCCGTGCACATATGCTTCCTGTCAATCTGCCACTGCTGCCACACCAGCTTTAGCACAGCCATGTTAGGAACGTCTTGAGGTCCCTGGGTGGCACAAATAGTTAGCACTCATCTACTAACCTAGAAGTTGACAGTTTTAACCCATTCAGCAGTGCCACGAAAGAAATGCCTGGTAATCAGCTTCCATAAAGACTTCAGTCAAGAAAGCCCTGTAGGGCCTGGTTCTACTCTGCAACATACTGGGTTGCCATGAGTCAGAATCAGCTCAAACATAGCGGGTTAACACATGCAGCATTTTATCATGTCACATGCCCATTTGTCAGATGTGGAAGACCGAGGCTCAGGGAGGGGGAGGGACTTGAGCCTGGCAGGTCATGAGCAAAGGTTGGATGACACCTGGGGCTCCTCCCTGCCATTTTAGCTTGGGAGGGTACATTTGGGATTTTGCAGAGGGTGCCAAACATCCCCCCTGAGCAGGGGAAGTGAACCAGTTGGACTTGCTGGATCAGCTGGGGTCCAGACAACAGTGGGCAGAGGAAGGTATGGGCAGGGGCTCACAGAATAACGGGCCTAGGGTGGCAACACCACCAAGAGGCTTGCTCTGAGGGCATAGCCCTGGGACACTGAGAGTGTAGTCTGGGAGCAGCCACAGAACACAGGTGGGATACCCCTGAGGGCCTGGCTTTGCTCCCCATGATTCAAATAGGTGACCTAAACCTCTAGCATGCCCTGTGCAATAGTGCTGCCACCTTCCTAGTGACTCATGGGGAACTATGCCCACAGAGACCGAATGGTAGGGTCCAAGTCCCATGGCTGTAATGGAGGCAGTGTTTGTACCCAGGGCAGCTGGCTTGACATCCATGTTCTTCGTTGAGGGGACCAGGGACGTGCAGCTTGGACATGGTGAATGGTGGCTCCCACTCTACTGCAGGCATGATGCCATGGGGTATCCTTTAGCCTCTGTGATGGCTTAAGGCAGTGTCCCTGCCTCCACTGCCATCAACCCCTATCCTGAAGACTGTAACAGAAACACCACATACAGCAGAATGAAACACAGCCCAGTCCTCCTCACAGTCGTTGCTTTGTTTGAGCCCCTTACTGCAGCCATGGTGTCAGTCCATTTCACTGACCCTCTACTTTACCAAGTATGGTGTCCTTCTCCATGGACTGATCCTCCTGATAAAATGTCCAAAGTACAAAAGACAAAGTCTCACTGTTCTGGTTACCTAGTTCTGGTCTGACAAGAAATACCTTGGGATGGCCAAGGGATGAGATCTTAAAAGCTTGCAAGTGGCCATATAGATGGGATGGCCTTAACAAACAGGAGTTTAGTCTCTTACAGTTCAGAGGCTTTAAGTCTGAGTTCAAAGTGCCAGCTCTAGGGCCTGGGTGAAAGCCCCTCAACTTTGGGGTCCAGCTCCACCTCCTGCTCCCAGCCCACTGGAGCTAGAGGCATTTCTTCACTCGGACAGCTGCTGGCTGCTGAAACTGACAAACCCAAGGTTGACAAATAAAAAAGGCACAGTCCCGATGTTACCAAACCACACAGCAGGCCATTAATTTAAGTCCATTGTAAGTCCCAAGGTCAGTAGAGCATGGCAGGCTGCTGAACAACGACACAGCTTTATGCAGGGTCCAAGCATATCATAAGCTAGAAACCGTTCCCAAAGCTGCTACTTATATATGGGAAGCAGCTACTCATACCCAAAGGCAGCTACTCAGCTGATCACAGTAGATTCCACCGTGGAGTTGATTACCAGTCTCATCACGGGGAATACTACATCCAGCTGCCCAGCCAAGTTGATACACAAACTGAACTACCATACTCACCATCCTTGCTTCTAAGCAGCATTCCAGCTACACTTCTTCTAAGACAGATTTGTTCATACTTCTGGCAGTCCGTACTATATTCAATATTCTTTGCCAACACCATAATTCAAATGCATCAATTTTTCTGCAGTCTTCTTTGTTCATTCTCAGAAGGCTAGAAGTCTGAATTCAGGGCACCTTCCCATGGGTGAAGGCACTCTCTCTGTTGGCCTTGGGGCAAGGTTCTTTTCTTTGCCCCATAGGGTCTCCAAGGCTATAATTTTTTTTTTTTTAATAGGTTATGCAGATTTTATTTTATTGATTGATTTTTAATTTTTATTGTGGTTTAGGTGGACGTTTACAGAGCAAATTCATTTTCCAGACAGCAGTTCATACTCATTTTGTCTCATGACATTGACTGCAGTTTCCCACAATATAACAGCTCTCTTTCCACTTCCTTCCCATAGTTACCTCTTCCCTGTGTCCTTCCCTCCCATGCACTCCTGCCTCATGAGCTATCTCCCTGTGCATACACTCCCCTTCTGTTCTCCCATGATTTCCAAGGAGTGTATCTACCTGATCTAAATTTTCAGCCCATGTGCCTGTCTTTTATTTGGCTGGAAGCCATAGGAGCGAGTTCAGCTCGGGGCAGCTAGGGGCCATAGATAGTCTCAGGGGTCTCACCAGGCTCTATCAGACCATCAAACCTGATCTTTTTTTTTTTTTAAATTTTGAGAGTTGTTCCACTTTGTTCTCCCACTCTATCCAGGATGTCCTACATAGATCCCCCTCTGAACGGTTGACAGTGGCAGCTGGGCACCATCTAGTTCTTCTGGTCTCATGGTTATATAGATTAGGGATCACATGGTCTACCAGTTCCTTAGATTGTTTCCATGTGTCTTTGGTTTTCTTCATTCTTCTTTGCTCTGCATGAGGAGAGACCCATCATTGCATCTATATGGCCACTTGCAAGCTTTTAAGATCTTAGTCCCTACTCACCAAAGTAGGATGTGAAACAATGTTTTTAACACATATTTTTGGGTGACCCAATTCAGTCCCCAGCAATGCCCTAACATTAAGAGTTACACAGCTTCAGTGATTTGCCTAAGTGCAAATTTCATGGCGCCTCGTACAGAGAAAGGCCTGCCTGTCCTGCAGGTCTCCATCTCTGAGCTTTGTCTGTTGGGCCTCTGTCCACATCTTAAGACAGAAAACAAGGCAGTCTTGCTTGTCACTGCATCTAACTCCAGAATGGAAGAGCCATGAGTGTAGATCAGTAGTTTTAATTTATTGTGGTTATAAGGGCTGGCGCAGTGCTCTGGATCCAGGGAGGTCCATGAATCCCACCTCCACAGGCAGTATCCCTGCACATCTCCTCCAGGAGCCTGTTGTGGGAGTGGCGGTTCCCCTTCCTCTATCAACACTGTCCTCTTGTGGCCACATGCCTCTCTGTCCACAGCTGGCCTTGGACTGTGCTTTGACTTCAGCGTCATTGTCGTTGTTGATGAGTTGATTCTGACTTGTGGCCACCCCATGTGTGCAGAGTAGACAGACTCCATAGGGTTTTCAAGGCTGTGATCTTCTGGAGCAGATCACCAGGTCTTTCTTCTGAGGCATCTCTGGGTGGGTTTGAACTGCCAACTTTTTGGTTAGCAGTCTAGTGCTTTACTCACCCAGGGACCTTTGTGGGAGCAGGAGGGCCTTTAAGGTCTCCTCTCCTTTAAAGAAGCTTACAGATGACTTCTAGGAGAACAGACTGCTCAAAGCTCAAGGTTCCAAAGATTACCCTAGGGAAATGGCCTGCGTAGGTCACCTCAACTCCAAGGACCCCAGAAACCTGGATTCCAGGAAACTAAAAACTTTTCTCAACTGTTGAGAAAAAGTAGTATGCTTAATTATAAAAAATGTGGAGAAAAGGAAAGAAATGAAGTAAAGAAGAAAGTTATTGTCTTCTACGAATTTATCCAGAAATTACCAAATGGAATATTTTGATATATTTCTGTATAAATTTTTTTCAAATAATCTTCTTATTTTTTCCAAATATAAAATACTCAGTGTTTGCCATCAGTAGTCATGGCCATGACCCAGGATTGTGTGTCTGAGCTCCCACAGGAAAGCTTGGCATCCGTTTATGAGTAGAGACTACACCAGCAGTGCCTGGCTTGGGCATGGGCTGGCCTGGGGGGTGTCCACAGCCCTTTAACACCCACTGTGTCTTCTTTTCAGGTTTTCCTGCAGACTTGGTAAGGCTGCCCAGCAATCCCCTCCCACTCTCCATACCTCAACAGCTCTGGACCTGGAGCCAAACACCCTGTGGCTTCGGCTTTCCTCATCCGTGGTCCTCACTTGGCTGGGGTGCCTTTGGTTCCCTTCATGCATGTGGTAGAAGTGGCTCCCTATCTGTGTACGGCCTCTTAGGCCCTGACCTCAGTCACCCTACCTAGCCCACCCACCCTTTGGCTTGTCTAATAGCTAGTGGCTCAGGGTGCCTGGCTCTGTGGTGAATCCCACCTCCGTAAATTGAATTGTTTATGGGGTGTGGGCTTCCTGTCTTGCTGAGCTGTGGGGTCCAGTCACATTGACCAGCACCTGGGGCCCTCACCAGGCCCTGTGGGGGTCACAGAGATGCCCTTGTGCAGGAGGGAGAGGCACAGAGTGCTGAATCTTAGGTGACAGGATGTACCTGGATGACAGATGAGCCTAGGCTCAGGCTGAGTGGTCAGAGCAGGCTTCCTAGAGGAGGTGGGACAGGGAAGAGGAGGGATTTTGGGGGGACACAGAGGTGGAGGGGATTGTCACACAGGGAAAATGTCATCAAATGCCTATGGGGTCCAGGATGTGTCCTCCTCCCCTTCCTACTTGCTACCTCAATCCTCTAGTCTGGGGAGTGTGGGGGGTGTGGGGAATCAGGCCTAAGCCATGAGCAGCCCCCTTACCACCGCTCTGTGTCCTTCCTCACAGGACGCCTCTGGAGCAGGACCAGGTGAGTCTCGAACTCTGCTGTGCAGGTCCCCAGGGTGCGTGGTGCCCTCTGGCAGGGAGGCTCATCTCCCTCCCGCCCCATCCTCTTGGGAGTCACCTTTGTTTCTGACAACACAGATTCGGGTCGGGGGAGGCCCAGTGTGCAGGGCACATTCATGACCGAGAGGAGAACTACAAAGCAGGGCTTCAGGGGCTCTGCCAGGACCCAGAGCTGATCACTGGCCCTTAGTGACCCCCAACTCCATGTGGCTGACTTGGAATCCCAGAGATGTGTTTGGGAGAATATATAAAGTTCTGTTTAAGTTACTATGGCCATGAAGATACCTGATCTGTTCACCACATCAGTGCTTTACTTAGGATATTTCACAAACAACAGGAGGTCCCTGGGAAGAATCTGGGAAGGGCAGTGTAGGCCTGTGTGTCTGTGGTGGGTGTTGAGGGGTGGACTCCTACAGGGAGTGCTGCAGGGTCAGCAAGGAGTGGGTTGCTGGCCATGCATGGTCACCAAGTGAGCTGCTCCCCACTCCCTGGTCTCCACAGGGCCCAAGATGGTGGCTGTGCAGAATTACCATGGCAATCCTGCACCCCCTGGGAAGCCGGTGCTCACCTTCCAGACAGGCGATGTGATGGAGCTGCTGCGAGGGGACCCGGAGTCACAGTGGTGGGAGGTGGGCAGAAGTGTAGAATCTTCACTCCCCAGGCAGTAGCGGGCTGGGGGGAGAGGCCTCCTGGCATAAGAAGGGGCTAGTAAGCAGGGCATTCCTGCCCCATGTCTCCACTCCCTGCTGTTGTGGGGGTCCAGGTGGAGCTAGCCCTCATCCTCTGGGTACTTGTTTTGACATGGTTGGGGGTGCATGATCCCTTCACAGGAGAGACCCTTCTTCCTGGCGCTCAAGGCACTTCTCCTTTCGGCTCTGCCAGCTTCCTGCCTCGGTTACCTGAGGGCTCTGTCTCCCCATCAGCCACCATCAGTACTGGGAGACACTGACTGACCCACCACCACCTTTCCCAGGAATCCCCATCTAGAGGGGACTCGGCCATGGCCACAGAAGATGCCAGTTTTTGAGCTGTGAAGCTAACTGTACCTTTGTGTGGCCATAGAGTGGCATCTCTGAGGGTGTCTGGCCTGCCCCCTCCCATCCCCCACACCTCTGCTGAGCCCTAGGGTCGGGACTTCAGGCACTGCGGGAGCTCATCCCAGCTGGACAGTTATTACCAAGCATGCTGGCATTGTTGCACCTTTATTGTCGGTATACACATCTCTAAGTACTTATTGTAGCAGAGTGCTTGTTCAGAGTGCGTGTTTAGGGATTGGAAGCTGAGGCAGGGCATGTGCAGTCTGCTCCCTGCCCCGCAACTGCCCAGTGCTCCTTCCCTCCCCAGGCCTCACCAGGATGGTCGTTTCCTGGGGGTCTTGTAGAGATTACTTAGTGCAGTGAAGTGGAGGCTGGCTGGGGAGGATTCTGGGAGGGCCATCCCAGCAGAGGGGTAGGGAATCAGAAGCCAAGCCCCACCACCTCAGACCCCTGGGAGGAGCCTGTTTTGTCCATATGTCAGATTCCTGAGAATCTTAGCTGGTGCAGCTAAGAGAGAACTGGACAGAAGGCAGGACACAGGCTCCAGTCCAAGCTCTGAGTGAGCTGTGGAACTTACCTAGGCGTCCTCATCTGCAAAGTGGGGCTGCCTGTCACCTTCTGCCCAAAATGATGACAAGGTCAGCCGAGGTCACAGCAGGGAAGTGAGACGCGGTGTAACATGTACTTCCTGAGAAGGGGGCTAGGATGAGCTTCTTGTTGTTGTTGTGTGCCGTCAAGTTGGCCCCGACTCATAGCGACCCCTCCTTGGGTTTCTGAGGCACTATCACTACAGGAGTAGATTGCCCAACCTTCCTTCCTAGGAGTGGCTGGTGGGTTTGAACCGCCAACCTTCTGGTTAGCAGTCAAGTGCCTTAGACACTATGCTACCAGAGCTTCTAGGATGAGCTTAGTGGATCCGAGAGCAGCCCCACACTCCCACGGCTGAGCCGAGCCTCCAGCGTGCCCTGGTCATCTCCCTCTTCTTTCCAGGGCCGACTGGTGCAAACCAGAAAGTCAGGTTATTTCCCAAGTTCGTCTGTGAAGCCCTGCCCTGTGGATGGAAGGGTGAGTGCTTGTCCACAGAGGCATCTGGAGCAGAGCAGCCAGGTGATGAGGGTGCCGGCCTCTCTGCCCACATCCTTGCCTGGCGGCTTCTGTGCACCATGAATAGGAGATCCTGTGCCCCTGAGAGTGGGTGGTTGCTGGGGTGGTGCTTTCTGCTCTGTGAAGGCTCAGCTGTCAGGGAGGTGGGTTACATTAGGGTTTACAACAGCTAAAATAGTGTCTCGGGAGGGATGGCGACCGCTGCCTATCCCACAGCCCTGGGAAAGGGGAGTGCTTCCCCATGGGGCCGAGGCTAAAGGGCCCAGAGCCAGACTTCACACTACTGAGAAAAAAAGGCAGTGTGAAATCTGTAAAGGAATCAGGGAGTTGGCCTTAAATACCTCTCCTCCTCTGCTGCCCCCCCAAAAAAGAAAAGAAAAAGACAAGTAGATGTGAAATGCCCCAAGAGACTCCTGGTGCTGGTGGGCAGGTGGGCGGTCAGGCCCTGACACTGAGGGACTCCTGGTGCAGGTGAGCAGGTAGTCCCCAACACCAAGGGATCCCCCAGGCCTGCTGGCTTGGGGCCCCTCCTCCCCACCAACCTGCTGCTTCTGTGAGGCCGCTCTGCTCAGATGATGGAGAGAGGCTTTGGTGACAGATTAAGAGGACCCAGACAGCAGAGGAGAATGGTCAGGAACTCAAGGGTGGCCTGGGGCAGGTCCCTTCCCCACCGAGGCCTCAGTTTCCCCATCTGCATGGCAAGTGGGGGCAAGCTAGGCCGGAGAACAGGAGGCTGGAGGGCTTTGGCCAGGGAGCATGCCAGCCTGCGTGCAGCCCCCAGGGCAGGAGCTGTCACAGACAAACGCACCTACCCTCATGGCCAGGGACGGCTTGGTGCTTACATCTACCTGCTAGGAAATCCTGCAGCCTTCTGATAGTCCCTGCCAGACAGATGAGTACCCTGTTTATTGGTTTGCTGCCCCCCATTCACTCCCTCACCCAAACACACTGACCACCTGCTCTGCAGGTACCCCAGTGGCTGTCAGGTGGGCAGTTCCTGACCATTGCCCTCAGGACCTCACGGTCCAGTGGAGCTGGGCTAAGTGGACAGATGGCCCTGCTCCTGTGCAGCCAGTGCTGACCCAAGGGTCAGTGATCAGTGACAAGCACCCCTGCAGATGGCCCCTTGCGGGACATTGATATGCTTGTTTTCTCCTGCCAGCCACCCATCAGCCGGCCGCCGTCCCGGGAGATTGACTACACTGCATACCCCTGGTGAGCAGATTGCAGACGTGGGTGTGTGGGAGGCCCTTGTTTGTGGGGGACATGGTCTCATAGCAAGGGGGACAGGCCCAGGGCCCTCATCTGGGAGTATGGATGTGTCCCCCCTCTGCTCCCAGCCCTGTCCTTTCCCGCTGCTCTGTGGGCAGAGCCCAGGGGATCGTCCTCCTTCCCCAGGCAGCTGTTTCCTATCTCTGCAACAGATCAGTGGGTTCAGATACTTGAGGGAATGAAACTCCTTTTTTTTTGAATTGTGATTTGAGTGAAAATTTACAGAGCAAATTCACTTTCCATACAGCAGTTCACATACACTTTGTCTCATGACATTGATCACAATTCACCACAATGCAACAGCTCCCCTCCCACTTCCTCCCAATAGTCACCTCTTCCCTGTGTCCATCCCTCCATGTACTCCTGCCCTCTGAGCTATCTCCCTGTGCATAAATAGCTCTTCTTTCTCTCATGATTGTTCTCTCCAAGGAGTGTATCTACCTCAGGTAAATGTTCAACTCCTATGCCTGTCTTTTGTTTGGCTGGAAGCCACAGGTGTGGGTTCAGTTCCAGACCTGACAGGCAGCTAGGGGCCGCAGTCATGGTTCCACCATGAAACTCCTTTTTATGAAGACTGAAACACTGAGCTCCAACATACGGAATATATAAAAACCAGTTGGCATCAAGTCGACTCTGCCACCTGGCGCCCTTGTGTGTGTTAGTGCAGAACTGTGCTCCACAGGGTTTTCAGCAGCTGATTCTTTTTAGAAGTAGATCACCAAGGCTTTCTTCCAAAGCACTTCTTGGTGGACTTGAACCCCATCCTTCTGGTTAGCAGTTAAGTACATTAACCATTGTACCTCCTAGGCACTGGTTAAGGAGCTCTAGTATAGTGGCTAAAGCACTCAGCTGTTAATCAAAAGGTTGACAGTTGAAACCCACCAGCTGCTCTGTAGGAGAAAGATGAGGCAGTCTGCTTCCGTGAAGATTTGCAGCCTTGAAAACCTTACAGGGCAGTTGTTCTACTCTGTCCTAAAGTATCAGCTTGGTGGTAGTGGAATTGGATCAGAGAGATGAGTTATATTATTACTGCTTTTAAAATAGTGAAAAATCTGTTTTAGAAAGGAAATTGGACCTGCTGATGTGACACTGAGTAACTCTTGCAGATCCTAGAGTTCTAGAAGCAGAAGGCAACCCTAAATGGCCAGTGTCTGTTGTCACTGCCCCTTAAGTGACCACTGGGTGCCAGGGCCTTTGGGTGCTGCCATCTGAGTTCCATTGGATCTGCTTCCCTCATGCCCATCCTCATAGGGACTTTGCCTCCGCTTCCCAATTGGCTCATATGGAGAGCAAAGCCCCAGTGAGTTACAAGGTGCCTTAGCATGCTGCCTGGCATATAATAGGAGCCCAGTTGGCTTTTGGTGACATCACAGTTGCCACACCATTCCTCCCAGCCCCTAACGACTCTCGCTGTAGGTTTGCTGGCAACATGGAGAGGCAACAGACAGACAATCTGCTCAAGGCCCATGCTAGTGGCACCTACCTGGTCCGAGAGCGGCCCGCCGAGGCCGAGCGCTTCGCAATCAGCATCAAGTACGTGGCAGCTTGGGGGTCAAAGGGGCCTCCTCCCCAGTAAGACCATGAACCATGGGACCCACCATACCCCCAAGGTCTGGACTTATAATTTATTGTCCAAAACAGGACACATGGGAGGAGAAGGGGCCCTGGCAATAAGGACCAGATATTGGTTGGTGAACACAGGGCTGGCATGTCCAGATGTAGAACAGTGGGAGGAGCTAAGGGGAAGAGGTATGGGGCTTTGGGGTATGAGGGTCATGCAGGACCATGGCAGGGAAGTGGCTCGGCTGAGGGAAATGAGCCAAGAGCAGAGCAGCCAGAAGGTGGAGAGAGCTGCACAGGGCCACCATGGATCTGGAGGTGGACGAAGGGAGAGGCTCACTGCTCCAACTACCTTGCCATCAGCCTGGAGTCTGGAGTGGGGGGAAGGGGTGCTGGCTGCCAGCGTAGTGACTGCCCACACAGTGACCACATGCACTTGGCTCAGGTTCAATGATGAGGTGAAGCATATCAAGGTGGTGGAGAAGGACAACTGGATCCACATCACAGAAGCAAAGAAGTTTGAAAGCCTCTTGGTAGGTGATTCCTGGGCTCTCTGCAGGGACCACACTGGGAACATGGCTCCTTCACCATCCCTGCTGGCCAGTTCTTGTGGTCCAGGGCTTGACCATGATGACCTGTCCCTGGGGCTGGGGCTGGACTTGCTGATGAGGAAGGATTCTTCCCAGAGTGGCAGATATTTAGGGAAATGGGTTTGTGAGACACCTTGGACAGTCCAGGCCAAATCATAACCCCAGAGCCCTGACTTCAGTCCTCCAAAGCCTGTCATTGACCTTGAGGCCGACACTGTGGACAGTGAGTGTGGGGTGCCTAGTTCACCCTGGTTGCCAAACATCCCAGCAGCCCTTCACGCTGAGCCTCCTGCCAGAACTGGAAGCCGTGTAGCCCCCACCTCACACATGGCTTCTAACACCTCCCTCCATTGTCCCAGTCAGAAGGAAGTTAAAGGCACCATCATTGTTTGTTGTTGCTGGTTCATGGTTCCAAGTCATGGTGGCACTATGTGTGCAGATAGCACTGCTCCATAGGGCTCCTGAGGCTGTGACCGTCCAGAAGCAGAGCCCCAGGCCTGTCTTCTGAGGGTGGATTTGAACCACCGACTTTCTGGCTAGTAGTTGAGTGCTGAACTGTTTGTGCCACCCAGGGACTCCAATTAAAGCCATAGTTCTTTAAAAATGACCTCAAAATCATCTCTTCTCAATTACAAAAGTTATACACAGGCACACCTTGTTTTTATTGCATGTCATTTGATCGTGCTTTGCAGATACTGTGATTTTTACACATGGAAGGTTTGTGGCAATCCTGCATTGAGCAAGTCTGTTGGTGCTATTTTTTCCAACAGCATGTGCTCACTTCTTGTCTCTGTGTCATTCTCACACTATTTCAAATGTTTTCATCATGCTATTGCACACTCCGTAGACTACAGTAGAGTATAAACGTGACTTTTATATGATCTGGGAAGCAAAAAACTCCTGACTCGCTTGACTGCGATCTTCGCTTTGTCACAGAGGTCGGAACCGACCCAGCCATGTCTCCAAGGTCTGCTTGCATATTGAGAACATCTGAATGTAGGTCTAGTGGCCATAGAAAAGCACTGAGTAAATCAAGTCATCCAAAGTCCCCATCACCCCCTGAAATGCGCAGGGTTAACCCCCAGTGAGTCCCTGTGTAGCTGAGGAGTGGTTTGTGTCTACATTTTGATAACAAAGATGCTGGCCACACTGTCCTTAGTGTTACTTATGTAATAGAGTTCTTTCCCCTCCATGGCTGGGACCCTGTTGGGATGTACCATCATTTATAGCAGTGTGCCACTTGGGTAGTCTCGTGTTTTTCTGGGATAAACAGTACTGGCCCAGCCTCCACGGGCACCCATCTTGGCCTTCTTTGTTCTTGGCTGATTGATACCTCCAGAGAAGGCCTTAGAAGCCTTCACCATGGTGGCCATTCACTGTGGCCTGGGTAGGGGGGCCGCAGGTGAACCCAAGGAGCTAGAGGGCCAGGTGCCATACAGGAGGATGCAGAAAGCAGTGAGCACATGCCCCCTGCAGGAGCTGGTGGAGTATTACCAGTGCCACTCACTCAAGGAGAGCTTCAAGCAGCTGGACACCACGCTCAAGTACCCCTACAAGTCACGGGAGCGTACAGCCTCCAGGGCCTCCAGCCGGTCCCCAGGTAATACCAGCACCCACCAACACTCTAGCTTCTCTGGGTGTCTGCTTAGCCAGTTCCCCTCCCTGCCCATCAGCACTCCTAGAACCCTCCAGGGGCCATGTGGACCTAGACCAGGGCCCTCCCTGACTCCTACTCCCAGGGTTGTGGACAGGCACCCCTGCCAGCTCATCACAGTGCCAACCGGTTTTACCCTCCTGTGCCTGGGTCCCTGTGTGACAGATGGGAGGCTGGGCTTGGGTCACACAGCCCCTTGGTAAGTGGGTATATAGGATCCAGCCCAACCCCCAAGAGCCTGCTCTGAGCTCTGCTCCACCCTTGGCCCTCTGGCCTAGAGGTCTGTGAGGAGTGGTGCACAGAGACCCCAATGCTGAGAATAGCCACTGGGGAGGAGAGCAGGGCAGGGTCCCGGGGATCCCACTCTGAGGGAGCTAGGCTGTGATAGTGTACCTATGCTTACAGAGGTTCAGCCAAGACCCAGGACAGGAAAGTGACCTGTCCCAGGCTACCTGGGATTAGGGCAGGGTGAACCCAGAGCACCTGTTTTCCGGCCCAGGGCTGTCCGCTAAGCCTCTTGCATCCCCCAGCCCACAGGGACTGCAGGACCCTGGTCCCACCTTGGTAGAGGCAGGCAGAGAGGGAGACTGGCCAGTAGCCAGCACGTCCTGGGGGCCTGGTGGGGGCTGGGCTCTTGGCCCACATTGTCCCCTTGAATACAAGCTCACTGGTGGGGCAGCTAGTCCACTGACTCCCAAGGAAAGCCTGCAGAGAGGGGTGACTACCGGTGGGACCCAGGCCCCTGCTTTCCCGCAGCCCCCTGCCTGCCCCGCGGCCTGTCGCATATGCTGAGTGCAGCGGATGCTTCTCCGGCCCCCTTTCATGCTCTCTCTCACCTCTTTGCAGCTTCCTGTGCTTCCTACAACTTTTCTTTTCTCAGTCCTCAGGGCCTCAGCTTTGCTTCTCAGGGCTCCTCCGCTCCCTTCTGGTCAGGTACCACTGCTGCTCGGCGTTGGGGGGACACACCAGCTCCAGCCAAGCTGGCCACAGCTGCCCACAGCCCTGCCCAGAAGCATCTCCAGCTGCCCACAGAGCCCACCTTGGGGGGACTAGGGTGGTGGCATGGGGAGCAGGAGGTGGGAGGAAAGGGCTCGGGAGACAGGACGGGGCTGCTACTGGTACCTGGGGATGCATCTGGGCTCCGCGCTGTCTCCCCATGACCCCTCTGGGAGGCACCCACCTGACGCCCACTGCCCCAGCCTTGTCTATTCCTTGTCACTCCTTGGGAGCTTTGCCTCTGGTAGCTGAGAACTGGGGACGGCCAGCCACTTCAACAGGTGGGCGGCCAGGACAGAGCCAGGGTGGAGGTGGCGAGGGACATGGGTGTGAGGGACTGGGCCTCTGCTGCCAGAGCCAAACTATCCCCCCAGCCCCCACACCTGTCTAAAACCAATGGCATCACCAGCACCAGTGTGTGTTCCCCTTGTCAAAGTCATTGTCCCCTGCCTACCAGGACTTCTTGGTCCTGGGCCAAGCTGGCTCCAGCTGGGATTCCAGTTTGGTTTGGGGCTCTGGAATTGGAGAAATCAGGAGCCAGAGCCCCAGGTCTGAGTCCACGTGCCTTAGTAGAAGGATGCAGGGGCTGGGCTGGGGTACTTCATTCGACCCTGTACCCCAGTACCCAGAGATAGAGGGCCACCCAGGGCCCAATGGGAGCTGTGATGATCAGAGCCCTGCTGTTTGCTTTTCTCCCTACCTGTACTCCCCAGGCCCCTGTAGCGGCCCAGTGCTGGAGGGAGGTATTGCCCATGCCCTTTCAATGAGGGTGGGAGCTCAAGGATGCCCTGTGCCCAGAGGGGGTTGCTGCAGAGGAGCAGGCACCCTTGGATCCAAGCCTGTCTTCACGCTTGGACCCCAGCTCTGCCTCCTTCCTCCAGGTACAGCATCAGGTACCAGGAGAGGACCAGCTTGGCCCTCAGCCCCCTAGCAGTTGTGTGACACCACCCTGTCACCCCACAGTGTTCACGCCCCGGGTCATCGGCACAGCCGTGGCCAGGTACAACTTTGCTGCCCGGGACATGCGGGAGCTCTCACTGCGAGAAGGCGACGTGGTAAAGATCTACAGCCGCATCGGCGGGGACCAGGGCTGGTGGAAAGGCGAGGCCAATGGGCGGGTGAGTGGCCAGCCAGCCTCCAGGCTCCTTGCAAGGACCGTGCACAGGGCCCAGCCTTGCTGTGGGCTCAGGGTGGTGGCCTCTTGGCCTCAGGCACCTTTGGGCTTAGGCAGGTTCACAAACAGCCAGTGCTGTGCCCCAGGCACTGTGTCAGGTACCCTTCTATCAAGCTCACCCTGCATGTGCCCAGCAGCCCAGAACCCTGGTGCCATTATCCCAGTGCATACCAGGGAAACTGAGGCTGCAGAGGTCTAGCCAGTAGTTATGAAGCAGCTGCACCGTGAGATCTGAAACCAATCCTAATACTAGGCCCTGTCCTGTTCCATACCACCTTCATGGTCCCTGCAGGGAACCAAGCGTAGTGTGCCGTTTTCAGACCACTTGCAGGAGTCCAGGCCCTGCTTGCAGGAGGGAGGAAGCAGGCCCAAAGGTGGACCAAGTGTTCTTGCTCAGCTCCTCTGCCTTTTTCCAAGACCTGATTTACACCTTAGTGATGTGGGTGGAGGGTGCATTTTGGTCCTAGCCACTCATACCTTACACACCCTTCCCAAGCTCCAGGAGGGTCCAATGACTCTTCGTTGTCCACCCTGAGATTCTGCCGAGCATTGCGGCCCCCTTATCCCAGAACCAACCCTGGACTGCCTGACTCTGACCAGGTCTTTTGGCATCTACTCAGCAGAGTCCCAGAGCTCTGTGGCTGCCGATAAGGAAATAAACCCACACTGTGGTGAGAAGCAGGCATAGGCCAAGCCCAGCTTCCCTGGGGGCTGCAGGGTGCCACTCAGCTACAGTTCCTTTCTGACCATTTCATTACTAGGTGGCAAGTGCCAGTCTGCCTCCACCTAACATGAAGGCTGTGCCTTGGAGGGCCCTCAAATCTGATCTGTTTTCCAGCCAACAGCCCTGCAGAAGTGTGAAACCACTGCATCCTAGGCAGCTGACCTGGCTGTAATCTCAAAGATTACTACCATTGGAAGCACCTGGGGCTGTAGTTTAATAAGCACACACCTGGGCTGCACCAGGTCTCCTGAGTCCAGCCGGTTTCCCAGGTGATTTGGGTAGTCAGCTTTCAGCAGCACTGGTTTGGAGCATGATGAGGTATTCAGGTTGAGCTGACCCTTTATCATCACCAAATGTCACTTCACCTCTGACAATACTTCTTTCCGTGTTGTTGTGTGCCATCAAGTTGATTCCAACTCATAGTGACCATATAGCTCAGAGCAGAACTACCCTCGGGAGTCCCATAGGAGAGTCTACTTTATCAGTTAATAGAATACCAGTTCTGTGTTTGCATGGCATGAATTACTTTTTACTTTCTGACTCTGCTGGTGTGGTGGTTAAGGCATTCAGCTGCTAACCAAAAAGGTCAGCGGTTCGAACCCACCAGCCACTCTATGGGAGAAACATGAGGCAGTCTGCTTCTGTAAAGATTTCAGCCTCTGAAACCCTATGGGTCAGTTCTACTCTGTCTTTTAGGATTGCTATTAGTCAGAGCTGACTCAATGGCAGTGGGTTTGGTTTGGTTTGGTTCTGACTCTATAAACAAGGGAATTTTTAAAAAAACTAGTCTGATCTGACAATCTTGGCCTTTTAAGAGATATATGTAGTCCTTTTACATTTAATGTAATCCCCAGGATATTGAGGTTTGTACCCACCATCTTACTATTTTCTATTTGTCACAGCCATCCTTCCTTTTTTCTCTCTTCTTGGCTACTTTTGGATTAATAGATGTTTTTTACTATTTCATTTCTCCTCTTGACTGGTTTGTTAGTTTTGCACTCTTTTACTGTTATTTAAGTGTTACCTTAGACTTCTTAGAGACTACTTTACATTAGTAGGTTTCTCTTGCCCCTGCCGTCTGTCACTACTGACTGCCACAGGCTCCCTTCCATCTGTCACCACCAGCTCTGCTGCTGGGCCCCTTCCAAGCCTCTCACTGTCTTCAGTGTTATAATCCTTGACCCGTGTTACAGCTCTTTTGGGAAGTTCTTTTGCCTCCTTCCTTTCTGCTTTTTCTGTCTTCTTTGTTGTCTTTTCTCCTGTCTGTATGTTCCTGCTTCCGTTCTGGAAAACCCCTGTGGGGTTGGCTGCATATATACACAAACTCTTTGTCAATTTCAAGGCATGGCACTCCCACCAGGGCCACAAACTGAACAGTTCTCTGTATTCATAAGGTTTTCACAATTCTTTGAGAAGTAGATGTCCCCTTTCTTAGTCTGGAAGATCCACTGAAACCTGTCCACCATAGATGACCCTGCTAGTATTTGAAATACCGGTGGCATAGCCTCCAGCCTCACAGCAACACAGCAACAGAGCAACACACCATCACAGTAGACAAATTGACAGACAAGTGGTGGAATCCTCTCTCAGTTGGCCTTAATTAGATACTTGTTGTGTTGTTATGTGCTATGGAGTCGGACCCGACTCATAGCAACCCCTCCTTGGGTTTCCAAGGCAGTATCACTACGGAAGTAGATTGCCCAACCTTCCTTCTTAGGAGTGGCTGGTGGGTTTGAACCACCAGCCTTCTGGTTAGCAGTCAAGTGCTTTAGGCACTATGCTACCAGAGCTCCTAATTAGACACTTGAGTAATGTCTTAAGTACTTAGACACTTAAGCAATTAGACATTTAGATGACAATTTGCATAGTAGGCTATAGTAATTCATTTGCATAGTCTTTAGTCACTTAATGTGCATAGTCTATCGCCTAATTCCTTCGAGGTACGTACCAATCACAGGGCAGGCTGCAGTCCAGGACCAGAAGAAAAAGTATTAAGTCACAGATTTTTTCAGTTTATCCAGGAGATGTCAGTCAACCTGGACAAAAGTAACAAACCCTCTGGGGTAGAAAACTAGGGCTTAGGGGGAAAATCTCTCGAGCTGTTTTTCTAAAGAACCGAGGAAAAAGGCCATACAAAGGAACTCGTTTCACCATAACAGTCCATTTTCAGATTTCACCATTTGTCTCAATAATGCCTTCTGTAACTATTTTTCACTGGTCTTGGATCCAGTCTAGCATCCTGAATGGTATTCACTTGTCTAATCTGGAATAGTTCCTCAACCTTCTCTGTCTTCCATGACCTTAACATTTCTGAAGAGTATGGGCCAATAGTTTTTGAAGAATGTCTTACAGTTTAGGTTTGTTTGATGTTTCCTCATGATTAGCTTGGGGTTATACATTTTTAAGAGAAACATCAGAATAGGGTTTTGTTTTCTCAGTGCTTAATATCAAAAGGTGCATGATGTTGGTTTGTCCCATTATTTGTGACATTAACCGATCACTTGGTTAAGGTGATATCTGCCAGGCTTATCCACTTTAAAGTAATTAAGTAATCCACTTTAAAATAAATAAGTAATTTGCAGAAAAATACTTTGAGATCAGGTAAATGTATTGTTCCTCATAAAACTTTCACCTACTAGTTTTAGTATCCATCGATGCATTTTGCCTGCTCAGTTATTTCTATCATGGTTGACAAATAGTGATAGTCTCTCTCCATCAATTCTTCTATAGTTACTAATTGACATTCTAATGTAAGGAAAAGTTTCTCTACTTCCTCCATATAGGTATTCTCCCCCAGGAATCAGTTAGTTCTCCAAGTGGACCTGGTTCTTTTCCACAGAGAATTATATTAAGTTCATTTTTGAAGGTTATGTTCACTGAGTATAGAATTCTAGATTGGCACACATTTTATTTCAGCATTTTGATGTCATTCCATTGTCCTCCAGCTTCCATCATTTACTTAGGAAAGTTAGTTGACAATCTCCATGTTGCTCTTGGAAGGAAGTGTCTCCATTCTTCTCTCCTGAGCTACAGGTTTTGCCATCAGCTTTCACCAGCATTACCACATTGTGCCAATGTGCAGTTTTCTTTGACTTTATTCTTCTTTGGATTTGTAGTCATTTTTGACTATGTGGCTTGATTATCCTTCATCAGTTTTAGAAATTTCTCAGCCAGCATAGAATGTATCTGCTCCATTTTCTCTTTTCTCATTTGAGGGTTCCATTTACATAGATGTTAGATTAGACCTTTTTGTTATGGCCCATCTAGTATTTGCACTGTTTTCTGTTTTTTCACTGGTTTTCCATCTAGTTACTTCCTATTGACCTATCTTCCACTTTATTCACCTTCTCATCTACATTGTCTACTCGGCTGTAAAATACTTCAAATGAATTCTCAACGCCAGTCATTGTATTTTTCAGCTCTAGGATTTCTCTTTCATTTCTGATTGCAGTTCTGTGGTGATATTGTCTACGTTTTTGTCAATTTTCTTGAGAATGTAAATTAATTATTTAAATTCCTTAAATTATAACTTCAGTATCTGTGTTACCTGTGGGCTGGTTTCTATTGTCTGCATGTTCTCTTAGTTTTTGTTATTTGGTCCAGATTGAATGCCAATCTTGTGTATTAAAGGAAAAAAAGAAAAATGGGGAAAAAATTATATGGGCTTTTAATGTTGTTATTATCTGTCTAAAAAACCAAACTCACTGCTGTCGAGTTGAATCCAACTCATAGTGACCCCTTCTTGGGTTTCTGAGGTGGTATCACTATGGAAGTAGATTGCCCAACCTTCCTTCCCAGGAGTAGCTGGTGGGTTTGAACCTCCAGCCTTCTGGTTAGCAGTCAACTGCCTTAGGCACTATGCCACCAGAGCTCCTATTCTCCTCTATAGAGAATTTAATTTTCTTCTGACTAGTAAATGGAAGGTGGGAAGATCACCTTAACCTGGTCAAGGCTGGCATATTTCTGGGTTTCCCTTATTCCTGAGTCATGGCCCCACCAGACACACACACCCCTTGAATAAAGCAAGGACTTTAACCAGGGCACCTCCACTTGGTGAGCCTGGTTTAGGACTCTGGAAGTCTGAGGGGCTGAGTCTATTGGACTGGACTTCTGAAGGGTCCTTTATGTCTACAAATCTGTGCTTGCCCCTACACATGCACATAACGGTTCTGCCATCTCTTACAGATTGGCTGGTTTCCTTCAACATATGTAGAAGAAGAGGGCATCCAATGACAGCAAGAACTCAGACAAGACTTGCAGATTTTCTCGGAAGAGTTGCTCCAGCTCTGAAGTCGATCTCTAGCTCTATGACTCAGAGGAAAAAGTGCCCGCCAATCTTCCAGGATTCAGCAGCCCATGGGGTGGGGTGGGTGTTCACTGTCCTAACCGTGAATTGGTCCACCATCAGTGTGCCCTTGTGACCTGCATAGGGCATGCTACTTGTACATAGAGGAAACTAGGCTAGCCCTTGTGAGGGTGCCGTCACCCAGAGCACTGAGGAAGGGGTGCCTGAGGTGTTGTGGGCAGACCCTAGGTGACAGCTGAGGCCAGAGAGCATCACTTACCCCGTCCTGCTGAGATGGTGTTCAGGAGCCTAGGTTTAAGCAGCAGAAGCTATCCCAGGGAGGGCTGGGGCTGGAGGGAGGACTGCCCCACCCCTCCTGCTCAGCCCAGTCATTTAGCCCACCTGTTGCCTGCTGCTTGCTCTGACTGCCAGGGTGAGGCTCTGGTCCTTGAAAGGCAGGAGGGTCTAGAGCCAGCTCTCTGCTGCGACCCCTGCTCAGCCCAACTGTGCTTGGGTGCAGAAGAAGAGAGCATTGCAGGGGGGTTCTGTGAAGTCTCCCCAACTTCCAGGACTTCCCCCTTGACATTCTTACTGCCCTCAGCTCCATGAGGTAGAAACCCCATGGGGTAGGCCCTTCCCTTGGGTATGGGCCTTAGGAACGATGAAATTGCTGACTCTACTGCCCAGTCAATGGTACTGTTTCCCCCTTGCCCTGATACTCTCTTCCCTGAACTCTGGGGATGTATCTGCCCTACCCTGCTGCCAGGCAGATCTATATTTTGAAAACCCTAAAATGGGCCAGAAAGAAAACAGGGGTTTTCCCCTCACTGGGTCCCTGCTGCTCACATTCCTCTCCAGAAGGAGACCCTCGATCGCTCCCACTCTGGACTCCCTGGATCCTGCACGATGGTCCTTAAAGGTCTTCCCAGCTTTTACATGGGATGTCTATTCCAGCTCTTGGCAGGTCTTTCTCCAAAGGGCTCCTGAAACCTGTAAACCAGGCCTATGGCCAGCCCAAAATAAGTGCTCTTGGGGTAAGGGGTGCCTCTCCTGCCTTACCTCCTGCTCCTGACGTCTCCTGACCTTTGACCTCTTGGCTTGGCCAGACCGTTTTCTCTGCCCTCACACTGCATGAGACCTAGTGACACTGTCTCCCTCTGAGCTCTGTGCCAAAGCTGCTTGTGAAGTCTGGGCCCCAGGTGGCCCCCTCTCCCTCCAGTCAGCCTCTGAGCCCTGTGTGAAGGGGAGGAGCTGGGCAGGGCTAGGTGCTGGAGAGACGTGCTCCTGCTGGGGCAGGTGCTGGGCACTGCACTGTAGCCTGGGGGTTCCTTCTGAGCTCAGCCTTTGACCTCCAGCCTAGGGTCACACACCCAGCATCTTGGGTATGAAAAGAGGCAGGGGTACCAGACAGATGATGCTTACGTAGGGGGATCTAGAAGTAAGGGAGACATTTGGAGCCAAGAGGGTAAGAGGGGCATGAAGATTGGCCTTGGAGGGAGTATTCTCGGGACCCTTGCCTGTCGGGTGCATCGAGCACTTTTTGGCTCACCTTTGGCTCAGCTGGCCTGGCTGGGAGTGGGGAGGGACAGGGAAAAACTAGCCTACTTGTGTTTACTATTGTCAGGAACTTTTTTGGGGTTTTTTTTGGCTCGTTGGTTTTTTTAAGGGGAAAAAGTTTGTAATGATTTCAGCCAAATCTCCCATTATATATCTGTGAACAATAGGAAAAGATTTTATAATAGCAAGAAAATTATGTATATTTTAGTTCCTCAAAAAGTCATCATGATAACGAAGGGTACTGAGGAAAAAAAAAAAATGTAGAGCCCTCGTTTTTTGTGAAATTTTTGTTTGCTTTAAAATTTGTATTTGGTTTGGTTTGTTTTTGCACTGACCAGGATGGGAGGAGGGCTGGGGAAAGCTGGGGTGCAGTGGTTTCGGCAGGAGGAGGGGCGCCCTGGAGTAGCTTAGGGTTGGGGCCTGGGACTTAGCTGTGAACACTTAGGAGCCCGATGCATGTGGTTCAGGGATTGGGGGTCCCCGCAGCCTGCGGCTACCCTAAACAGAACACAAACTGTACATTTGCCAATGGGTTTTATCAGACCACAGTTTTTACTGCAAATAAACCTCTGTTCTTTTCTGCTAGAGTGGTTGGCCTTTCATGTCATGGGGGGGCGGAGGGTGAGGCAGCCTTTCTCTAGGAGCAGGAGCAGAAGGGGGGATTCCTTTGCCTAGGAGGAATAGCCCCCATCTCAGCAGGGTCTTCCACATGGTGTTCCTGTCTATGTCAGATGTGAGGCCTTGGGGTGGCCTAGCCCTGAGCAGAGGCCACAGGTCTAGAGAAGACAATGACCACAGCCACTAACCAAGCAATTCCTCTGACTGGCATGGAGCCACAGGCATCCGACATGACGTCCCATGGAATCCTCCCAGTGGCCCTTAGAGGTTCCCATCCTGATGAATTCCAGTCCCAACCCCAGCTGTCCCTTGGGTATCTTCTGAACCTTGATTTCCTTGTACATGTTCTGGACATAAAAATAGTACACTTGCCATTAGCTTGAATTCTGTGGTCTAAGATAGAGATCAAATAACAAGATAGAAGTATATTTCTTTCTCACAGAAAAAGCGGTCCAGAGGCAGCAGTCTGGGGGATTGGGGCCCCACTGTGCTGTCAGGAGGCCAGGCTCCTCTCTTTCCCATTCCCTATACCCCACGCTTGTCTCATGGTCCACGATGGCTGCTGGAATTCCTGCAGGTGAGACCCATCTCATATTTCCCCTTACATTTCCTCAGCAAGGCTGGGAAATGTGCCCAGTTTAAACTCTGTATTTCCCAGACCTCATACCTCAGATGAGGAGCTCTGGTGGCATAGTGGATAAGGCACTTGGCTACTAACCGGAAAGTCAGCAGTTCAAACCCACCAGCTGCCCTGCAGAGGGACGATGGGTTGATCTACTTCCATAAAGATTTCCAGCCTTGGAAACCCAATGGTGTTTGCTATGACTTGGAATCAACTCAATTGCAGTGAGTTTGGTTTGATTTGAGTATACCTCAGATGAGGGAGCATGGGGGCTGATCTTGCTTGTGTGTGGTGGGGAGGTTTTACCTGACTGGCACTCAGATGACGGTTGTTACACATGAGGGAGGATCTGGCACTACTCCCTGGCCTCTCTAACCCAGACTCAAAACCTGGCCCTGCCACTGCCCATTGTCTTCTCTCCCCTGTCAAGGGCCTGAGGGGATTTCTCAGGCAGGAGCCATCCCTGCATCCTCACGTCCTGTGTGGGAGAATGGAAGGGGCTGAAACTTGATGGCCAAGCAAGCTTGAGTCACCCTGAAAAGACCTCAGTTGGAGAGGCCCTCAGGGAGCCATGCAGCTTGCAGGACAGCTCATAGTGTCCACAGGAACTGCCTGGCACCACAGGTGAACCAGGGGACACAGAAATGGGGCACAGACCTCCAGGACATCTGCTCAATGCCCACACCCTAGCAGGCTGGGATGCTCACAGCCCATTCAAGAGCCTGCTCAGGCAGCAAACAGGCCAAACTGCATCGGGCCATGACAGACCCTGATGCCCTGGGGGCGGGCACCCAAGCTCTAGAAAATTTCTTTCTCCTTCCCCTTCCTTCTTTCTCTCTTTCTGCTGTACGTGTTAAGATTTTCTGTGGGACTCACACAGTTCCTACTTGACCCCCTTAGCTGCTTTGGGTCCTTTTTTTTTACTGAAAAAACCTGTTGCCAACAATTCTGTTCTGACTCATAGTGGCTGTGTGTGACAGAGTAGAACAGTTCTGTAAGGTTTTCTTGGGTGTAATCTTTATGAAAACATTACCAGGCCTTCCACAGCTCTGCTGGGGGGTTCAAGCCACCAGTCTTTTAATTAGCAGCTGAGCGTGAACTAGTGGTGTCACCCAGGAACCTTTCTTTACTAAGTTGCATAAGAATATAAATGCTATGCTTATATTAATTCATTTATCTAATCAATAGTTTTCGATCCTGTACCAGAGAATCAGCGATGAACAACACTGACAAGGTTCCAGCCAATTTCTGGCCACAGGTTGGCCTGGACTAACATGATGGCTCCTCTCTTTCCTTACCCCTCTGCTACAAACATAGAAACGCCAGATGAAATATAAGAAATGCAAGGAGCACTTAAGAGAAAGGGGGAAATCGTAATGCAAGGAGCACTTAAGAGAAAGGGGGAAATCCTCAATCCAGAAAGGAGAGAATCCAAGCCAGAGCTGAGATGAGGAGCCAACCCCAGGACAGCCTGTGGGTGGGTCCCCAAGGTGAGGCTTGGGAGGGTGACCCCTCCTTTTACAGGTCTTCAGAGGACCTGCACCCCCTGTCAGGTTGGGCCCCTCAGAAAGCCCCCACATCATGAAAAGAAAGTACCAACGCACATGTATAATTGGAGTCTACAGATTAAAAGCAGAGTAATGGAGCATAGCAAATATTTAAACATGGAAAAAAAAAAAAAAAAAAAAACTTGGCAGGAATAAAAGAATGAAGGGCACTCTGCCCCAGGTTAAATTAACACAGAATAGTTCACACTGGATTTCACAGATAAAGGATCACCTTTTAGACACAGGCAAAAGGACCAAGTCTCTTAGAAAAATTGTGTTGCCCAGTGACACCTGACTTTGAAAGGCAATGGAATGACACCTATGGACTACATGGAGCTTATGGTGGGTGAGGACATCTGTGCATAGACAGTGCAGCATGTCAACAGCTCTAAGTATGCGAAACCTTGGGGACTATCGCTCACTTGAACACTTAAAAAGACCACCAGAGAAAACTCTGAGTAGATGAGCAGGAAATCTACACTGAAAGGACTGGGGTGCATGTTGAACCTGTATCTCTGTAGGGACAAGTCTTAAGCAGGTGTGGGGGACATAATACAACTATAAACCCTGTAAAAGGAAGTCCACCATTACTAATTGCCATTGAGTCTGTTGTGACTCACGACGCCCCATGTGTGTCGGGAGAACTGAGCTCCAGAGGGTTTTCAGTTGCTCTGATCTTTCAGAAGTAGATTGCC